AAAACAAATGAGGAAAAGCTTTCATTGATGTGTAAACCGCATATAGTTTTTTTTCCTACATGTTAACTGACCAACTTCTGTCACGTTTTTATTAGCGAGTGTAAATTTTGATAACCTAAAGTGCCAGAAGCTTCTTACACGCGAGATTTAACACGTACAGTTAACTTCCCAGCGGGCTGTTTCCTGAGGGAAACCCGGGAGCGGGAGCGGGGCAGGGCCCGGGCCCCGCTGGGAATCCGGGACGCCCCGACCGCGCCCTCTGGTGGTGACGGGCCCGGCCTGCGCTCGGCAGCAAAGGCGCGGGGGAGGTTCCCAGTTCGCACTGCTGCTTTATTCAGTGGAAATAATAATAACAGTTTTTTAAAAATTACTTTTATCTGCATAGTTTATTATTTACTACTATATTCTTTAAAAAAGCAGACTAAAGTGGAGGTTTCTTGGTTTACGATACGGGAAGAGATTAATAACCAGCAAAACAAACCTATCATATTCAAACCAATATTTAACACTTAATTGATCAGAAGTATTGAGTAGTGTCACACTGTACCATTACAAAGAGAACGCAGCTCTTGTTCCGAGGGCTGCTTTAATTTTTTTTCAAAAGTAAAGGTTACCTTTTCGAGATCTTTGGTTTACAGCATGGCTCAGGTGTGAGTACCTGATCTTCTTTCAATCAATAACTGCAGACAAGCATTCCTCAAAAATGTACAAATACTTATTTGAAAAAAATCCAAGCCAAATCACTGGATGCAAGTGTTCTCTTTTCAAAAGGGACTCTGCTCTCAGCTATGGTGATGCAAACCCACACATTCAAAAACAAACCAAGAGGTATTACAGACTTATACCAGCATTGCTATTAACAGAATTTTGTCTTTTGTCCTTTTCAATTTTTACTGACATCTCAAAGACTCATATTAAAAAGAATAGAGTCTATAACTTCAAGGAATGATTCAATTAAAAATGTAAGTGCTGATGTTTAGTATTTATACAGGAGATGAAAAAAAGAAAGTTATGCTAAAAGAAATATGCAAAGATGAGCAGGTATTAGCTATCAGTTTGTACGGAAAACCAAGAGGACGAATCCAATATGAAATGCATCAGAAACAGTCTATGGAAAGCAGATTTCTAAGTTTCATAAATGAGGCACCCCAAACTGCTGCACCAAAGCACCTACTCAAGGACAAGACTGAAGAAAGCCTTTGAGGAAATAAGATACAGCAGAGCAAAGAAAAAAAAAGTAAAAAATATATCCTTAAAATATTTAACGTACTTGCTTCATGAGCCATGTTAAATGATACTGTATCAAGTAGATGTCAAAACATATTAATAAGCAAATTGTGATGACCAACACTACAACAGCTGTTTTACTGTAAATCGTGGTTTAAATTTTCAGAACATGTTTCTAGTTCTGACAACCATCCTGGCTGTCACCCACTGACAACTGAGGGTAGTGTGCAGGAGTACCTGGGAATAATAAATTTCAAAATCTTTAAAAACAAAAATAAATTGGCTTAAGCAAGCAAGATGATTAACTGTTTTTTAAATCCACATTTCTTGCACATCCTTGACTGAGGAAGCTGGTCTATTTCAAAATATCTAGTTAGAAAAGAATTTGGCATTAGCTTTAGCTGTGAGGGAGTTACTCTATTTAATCCATGCTGCTATTGTATCTGACACTACACTCAAGTGACAGCCAAGAAAAGCACAAGCTTTGGGAATGTGCCATAATTCCAATGTACATATACTGCTACCACCAGAAAACTGAATCTAAATAGGGCTGAGTGATAACAAGAACTTGACTTGAACCTAGAGAGTCCCTTGTGACCTACAGATGACAAGGTTTAGTGCACAGACCAGCACCTTTTCCTTTTTGCCCATAAAATAAAGCAAGTATAAACTCCAGATCACAGAACAAAATTGATGAAGAACAGTCATCTCTGACTGAACAAAAACAATGCATATTCTTCAAGCCATGTATGCTCATACAAGACACTTTTTAATAACAAAGCTGCACTATGAGAGGAATGTACATGACACACAGAGGGTATTGTGAAAAAGCAGTAATTGTAAAAAATTACCTATAAGTTAGCAAAAAACCCCCATCAAACTGCAGATAAAATTCCTTGCAAACATATAATCTTTGGTTATAGAAACAGCAACAATGTAAGAGTACAGAGAAATTGAACACCTATAAAGTACAGACATGGGCAACACTGACACAACTGAGCAGTCCCCGTTTTAAAACGGGCAGAGCAGAACATGAAACGATACCGTAAAAAGCTGCAAAATAATCATTGGAAGGCTGGAAAAGTTTCTTAGAGGGATTTGAGAACTGTAGTAAATTACGTAGTATTCAAATCATGTTTCTGTCTTCTTAAGCCCACTGAAATAAGAACCACATCCAAAATGACTTGGCTTTCTCTTGTAGAGAAAGAGAAATCAGATCCAAGAAACTTAATTTAAAACTCCAAGTAAAATATGTTGATGATTAAATATGAGTTTAAACAAAGAGGAGGAAGTTGATTCTCCAGAGAGATGTAAAGAGAGCGGGAAGCTTGTTTGTATTCTAACTTTGAATATGCATATAAATCAATTCAATTGATCACCCTGAGATATAAGGGACTCATGCTGAAAAGTAACATGCTCTTCCCTTGTCCTCACTGCAGGCATCTATGAAACAACACTAAAATAATTCAACACAACAGAATTTTGCAAACATTACTCCAGGTTCAGGCAGTAATCAAAACTCTTAAAAGTTACTATAATGCACAAGGTAACAAACAGCTCAGAAGACCCTGAAATCTGTCAGTGTTGTGACATTCTACTTAACCTGTGGAGCTGAGGAGTTCCGGTTATTGCCTGCTTTCCTTGTTTGCACTACCTGGATAAATGGCTGCTAATTACCTGATTGCCTGATGTATTCTCTCTATCTTGACATGGCAACTTCTGGAATTGTTCTACACAAAACATTCAGAAGAGATAAAAACGAAAACAGCTATTTTCTTTGTTAAAAATTATATACCAGACATATATGATATATGTATTGGCCTTCTTACTCTACGTCTATGAAGATTATTTTACTTAAATCTTACTGTAGGTTCTAAAAACACTTCCTCTGATGTTGTCTTTGTAACTTGCAAGCAATGAAGTGACTGCATTCACTATGTCACACCTTGCTCAGTAGGGCCTTACTGACAAGCAGGTTTTCTAGCAAAAGAGAAAGGACACTCAACAACTGATACAAGTTATCAATTAAAAGTATTAGATTTCAGAAAGTTAAGTGTAAGAAAGTCAAATTCAACTATTCTTCAAAGATTAAGTATTATAAGAATTTCAAGAATTTATGGCCCTTTCTTAAAAAGGCCACATTATGATTTCACAAGATTCTTGTGGTCTTTGGCTTTCCCTCAGATTGAAATACTTTAGGACTACAGGTTTTATGCTTTCCATCTTGAAGACATAGAAATATTTTTTGTCCGTTTCTGGAAGTCAAAAAGACAGCATAGCACTATCCTTGCATAAACTCTTGAAAACACTGCTACGAAACCCTGATGTGCTCATCAGTGTTTCGTATGTTATGCTCATCGAGCATATGTGCTCATCATATGTGTTATGCTCATCGAGCATAACACATGAGTAGCTTTCACAACACTCACAAGTCTGAAGAAAATCCAAGATATATAACCTGCATTTTAGTATTCCCAAACTGTAAGTTTTATACTCCAAAACAGAAACAAAACTCGTCATAGTTACCTCTAAGAAACAAACGCTTTACAGAACCCAACAACTACCCAAACAATTAAAAGATACAACGACAATTTAGTTTGCTAAAAAAATACTGGTTTACTATTAAGTTATAAATTCATTAACCTCTTTAGTACTTTTTTTTTTTTGCAGTGCAGATACAACACAAACATCTTCATGGGTGCAGTTCAATCCACCTTCTGACATCACACTTTGCTGTAAAGCAGAGAGGGCAGCCCATGGCCCACTCTGCTCTGTACTGAAGGTTTCAGGTCCCTGTGGGCCAAATGCTGCAATATCACAGAACAGCAGTGCAGAAAGCCAAGTGATGAAATGCCACGGAATGCCTGGCCCACTCTAAAATAAACTGCAGAGGAATGTTCAGATTGCACTTCAGCAAAGAGAGTGAACATGACTGTTCTCACAGAAAAGTTACTGTGTGCAGAGTTGCTTGGTTAAGCCAATAATGCCTCATTGAAGGCATGATCAGTTTTCCTGCACACAACAAATGGATTTAGTTCAGATTTACAATTCTACATGGAACTATGCCACAATATTTTAGCTTTGCATTGAGTTTTGGGGGAGCTGAGAGGTGGCGGTTTTTTTGTTTTAAAGAACATGAAGATATTTCTACTCTTATGCATAGCCCAAAGATTACTACCCTCTTTCTAACCTCAACTCTCAGCTCTAAAGCATTAACTAGAGACCTTCTGATCAGGACCCATTTGTTTGAAGCGTGCATTAACAAACAAGTTGTAACACGTATACTGGAAAAAAGAGCACTGCTTCAGAGTCCCTTCAATTCAGCAGAGTAAGCAAAATACTACATAAACACTGCTTTAAATTGTGCACTAAAAGAGAGGAAGTAGCAGTAAGACACTAATGTATATCCAGGAGTTAACAGTTGGGGGGGTTCTCCAGTACAGTAATTTAAAAAAGAAAAAAGGAAGAAAACAAAACCAAGTCAAAACACAAAACTGCTGAAATCTGTAATAGTCCTAAAAATGTTAAAAGTATACTGTGTTGACAGGCATGAAATTACTCTATTTCTTTAATACCATAACAGTATTTTCAGACTATGTTGCAGCTCTGTAATTAATAAGGCGGTTTATCAATTATGCAGTAAACAACTTCTACTCTGACATGTAACACTTCTGTCTCGTATAAACAAGTGAACAGGAACCACAAAAAGGTTGTTACCATTTTGCAGCATCTGTATATTGTCAAATACTTAAGTATTTTTCAATGACCAAAAAATGGACAAGAAGGTAAATTGTATTGCTTCTCTCTACCAATACTGAAAGAACAAGGCATAAATCAAACTTATTAATTTCCAGTTATTCTGTGTTCCAGCATGTGGTTTACAATCCTGTGCTGGAGGAGTTTCAGAAACTATATAAACGCCGGCCTGAAAGTGGAAATTAACGCTATCACCACAGAGCGCACGCTGAAATAAGTGGCCCGGCAGTGGCTCGCCCATTACCCCACCTTCCATTCTAACAAGAGGAGGGACGGCACGTCCTCTCCCCTCACGCCCTCCGAGCAGCGGGACGAGAGCTGCGAGCACAGCGCGGGAGCGCGAACCGCGGACGGGCCGAGCCAAAAAAAAAAAAAAAAAAAAAAAAAAAAAAAAAAAAAAAAAAAAAAAAAAAAAAAAAAAAAACCACCAAAAAACCCACAACAAAACCCAAAGGAAACACAGTGAGAAAGAGCCGAAAACGTCCCTGAAACCAACAGGACACATCTCGACTCAGCGAGAACCGCGAACTCCCGGGAAAACCTGAACCGCACATACCCGCCCCCGCAGCACGTCCCACAGCACCTCCCACCGCCCCTTCGTCCCGCCCGCCCTCCGCTCGCGGGGCAGCTGCGCACGCGCGGAGACACTCCCGCCCCTCGTCCCATTGGCCGGCACCCCATTGGCTCCCCGCGCGCCCCGCCTCGCGCGCCCCGCCCCGCCCGCTGCCAATCCCGCGCAGGCGCAGTCGCGGCCGTTTCGGGAAGGTTCTGTGTGGCTCCGGCCCGCGCCGGCTCCGCCCGGGGGATCCTGTCCGGGTACGGGCCGCCCGCAGCCCCGCTCCTCCCCGCCCCGCCCCGCCACCGGCTGCAGCCCGCGCCCTTCCCCTCACAGCCCGCCCGCCCCCCGCAGCCGGGCCGCGACCTCCCCCCGCCCCGGTGTCTCTGTTTGTCCCTGCCCCGAGCTCAGCCGCTGCCGAGCCCCGGGCCGGACCCGGACCCGGCGCTGTCCCGGGGACATGCGGCGGTGAGGGACAGCCTCACGCCGCCCGTAGCCTGTCTCTGGAGCGGCGGAGATGGGGCAGCGCCCCTCGCCCCGCGCTCTCCGCCCCGGCCCCCCCGAGGGCGGCGGGCGCCGGCGGTGCCCGGGATCCCGCGGAACCGGACCCGTCCAGGTCAGGGTGGGGCAGGGCACGGTCCTTCCCTCGCTGAGGTGCCGGCCTCGCCTCTTGCAGCTGCCTGGAGGTTCTTCTCGTTGAGACGAGTTCTAACTGGGAGCGCAGGGGCGGGACAGACCGCTCCGAGCCGCCGGAGCGGGACGGAAGGGGCTGCCAGGAGGATCTTCGTCCTTGCAGCGCTGCTGCCAGAGTTAGAAACCTGCCGCCTCTCCTCTCTTTCTTGTGATCTCCTGGAGAGGAGAGGTGAGTTGTCCTTCGCTCTTGTCGTACTTTAGCGGTGGAGGAATAGGCTAGCTTGCAAGGTGCAGAACTTGTTCAGGATGGCTTCAAGCCCCAACTGACTGCTGGGTTTATTTTACTCGAGTCTCAGCCCTGTGAAAAGGCCCACTGATGGAGAAAGAGATTAGCACCGTGTTAACTGCGCGGTTCTCTCTCCTTTGCTGCAGTGCCCACTTTCACCGCTGCCTCCTGCTCTGCCTGCTCCTGCTTTCAGCATGGTAAAGAAGAATACTATCCCTGATGGGTAAGTATCCTTCACACTAAGCAAGAGGCAGGAGCGGGCACAGCTCTGCCCACAGAGAAGGGGCACTGATTGCCCCAGGCGCTTTCTTGCCTCAAGCAACCTCACCACCTACAGCCAGGTAAGGTAGGTATCTTCTCCAAGACAGGAGCAGCCCAGCCATTCATCCCCCAGGTGAGTATAATGCTCCAGCCTGTCTGTGAACACTTCTCCTTCGTCGGCCAAACACAATCCCTTCTTCCTAATCTTCTTATCCCTAGTGTTTATTTACTGGGGAAGTGGGAGAGTAGTCCATACTTCTGACTACTTGGACGTTTGCTGTTAGGTGTGGAGGAAGAGACGATAAGATGGGAGCAGGTGATTGCATGCATAAGATCAAGGAATATGTTCATGAATTCAGGTCCAGAAACATCCTGCATTTTTCTTTCTAAAAAGAGGACAACGAAAGTGTTGTATCAGCAGAAATAATCATTAAAAAACTCCAAATGCACTATGTAGGCTTTCTGATCACTTGATTGGGAGTGCATATGGGGACCACAGAATGACCTCATTTAAAACAGATACAGTTCTATTCTTCAGCTCTAATCAAATAAACAAACAAAGAGGAAGTCCAAGTTTAGAATTTTAACCCATGTGTTACTGCTGACATCAGTACAAACCTTTTGGATAGGAGAGCATGCTGAGGTATAAAAGTACACAGTAATGGGACAATAACTTGCAGTTTATATGTTATTTGAGGAAAGATTGACATTATCCTGGTTTCTGGGTAAGTGTTAAATAGGTTTATTAAGAACATTCTTAGGAGGAGCAATAAGATAAAAAAAGCATGAGTTCCTGTAATATGGGTTGTCCTAAAAGCAATAAATAGAAACAAGAGATGAACAAAATTTAAAAAATAACTTCAAAAATTTGAAGTTTTTTTTCTAGATGACAAACTCAGGGATTAAAATTAGAATAACATGTAAGAAAAGCTATTTAAGCATGTCTTTCTCTGAAAGTTTCTATGAAATTTCAGTTAAATTATTGACAAAGTTGAGTAAAGTGGGCAAGTAGTGGTGCAGAAATCCAGAAAGAATTAACTGTCCTTGTTTTCTCCATACATGGAAATTATTACTAAAACTTTGAGAATCAGGTGCTCATTTCTCCCTTCTTATCTCCCCTTACATCTGAACTGGAGCCACTTTCAGGCTGCATGGATTTCTTAAGTATGGAAGAAGCAGAGGACTGTTCAACTTCTGTAACTGGAAACTAACACTTTCAAGGAGAGAAACAGCTACTGTCAAGTATTTGGTTATAAAGTTAGTATTACCATCTGGCAAAGTGCCTGATACTGAAGTGCTTTCAGCTTCTCCAGATACTTAACCTTTTTATACTACTAAGAAATCAGGCTGGACATCCACAGTATTGGGGGTTTGGCAATAAAGAAGTTTAAGGAATTCTCAGCCCACTGGTCTCATGCAGCAGGATATTGATGCCATCCTTGTGCTGGCACAACATGTTGTTTTTCTCTGTGAATTTAGTAAACCAGGAAACCATAGCAGTGAACCCTGGAAGGAACTAAGGTGATCCTGCACGTGCAATTTACTGGCCCTAGAAATAGTTGTTGGCAGAAATGAGATCGTGGTACACTGTAGCATAAGGACAAGTCCAGACAGTTCAGACTGTGGAACCACAGCCTCAGTCATATCATCTTGTTCTAACAGCAGTAGATCTAACAGCGACACTTCCGATTTAATGCTACTCTAAGAGAAACAGTGGAATAGATAGGAACACTACATGTAGCCATTTTTTAAGAGTGTCTTTCTGTTACTGCCTCAATTCTTAACACTTTTAATCCAAGTTTCATTATGCTAATTAAAGCAATACAATAATTTTGATCCAAATGACCCCTTGCTCTGGCGTTTCCACCGTGGAGTCAAGTTCTGGTTCTTCACGGTGTCTGAAATGGTATAATTCTTCAGTGGTTGTGGACTATGATGTTTCAGTGGAGAACTAGACAGTAAAAGGAGTCCAAGTTGCATAACAAATAGTTTAAAATATTGTGATATTTTTACGTATTTATACACTTCAGCATCCAAAATCCTGCTGTGGGTATAATTACATAAAATCAGATTCAGTTCTGAAAAGCATCTGCAGAATTGTCACCTTCTGGCATGCTACCCTTGAATGGTGTAAAAAAATACCGAGTGGGATCTTTTTGTTACAAGGACAAAGCTGAATTATTTTTGCCTAAGCACCATAAACAGACTTCTTAACTGAAGTTCTCCTGTGCAGACTTAAAGCATCAGCATTTTTCATTTAGACAGGGATATTAAAGAATGTGGTGTAAAGGGTTGTGCATGTTCCAGGGTGGGTGGGAGAGAAGGGTTACCATAATGTGAGAGTTTATTTGTAAAAGTGCTTCATACCATCAGTATTGAATCTGGTATCTATGGAGGTATGGAAGCCACTTGGCAAATAAGGCTGTGTGTATATCATGCAGTGTCAGAAGCCAAAAAAAAAGAGATTCCAAGTCGTGGTTTCTAAATGATCTTGCTACAGATGACAGTATTTCAGACTTGAATTTCTCTACAGTTAGAATAATTATCCCTTTTGAGTGTTTGGGAATTCAGTTTCCCAGGTAAGTTCTAAACTTATAACTGCTTCTCAGTGAGAGATGCTCATGAGAGGCTCAAGAATTGTTGAAACCCTTGAATTGTTGAGCACAGCTTCAGATAGTGCTCTCTGAACGTAGTTCTCCACCCAGTGTAGCTTTTGAGTATTGTATACCTGTTTACACTGGTTTACTAATGCTGATTAACTATTAGATGAAAATCATTCTGAATGGATGCCTTAAATTCAGTACTAGTTTCTCTTACTCTGGAAGAGTGGAACACATTATTGGCTTTAGAAAGACCAATGAGATTCAGCTGTTTGCTGTGAAGAACTTGTAGGGTATCTGTTGACAGTTTCCTGTGCTTTATATTTTTGTATGACTCCATCACTGAGATCTGACAAACTAAAGACATGAAACTTTAAAATTATTTTCAATTCAGTGGTTCCATTACATTGTAACTATGAATTATTTTAGGGCTTTCTTATCTAGCTTGCCATTAAAAATATACATAGTATCTTTATGGGGAACATACTGTATTTCTTTAAAAATCACTAGAAAATAAATGGCAAGGTGTCCGTTTCAATGATTCATTATGAATATCAGTAAAATACATAATTATTCAACACAATTTTGAAATCTATTTGAAAAGTTTATTAATTCGATAAGAACATCATCAGTAGTTGTTAAAATAAATCTTACTATTAATCAGTTCTAAAACATAGCACATTATACTGGAAATTAAAGCTTTTGCATGACCTTAACAATAATGTTAAACTAAAATATGAAAAAACTGTGTGTTCCAAAGCAGATAAAATATGCAGCTGTATGCAGTCCATACTCAATCAGCTACTTCATGTCCAGATTGTTTTTCATTCAGGTCTCTGTCAGCTCTTAGTCACTGGTACAGGAGGAATGATGGTGCCAAGTCTTGCAATAACACCTTTGACTCCTGCCTTCCTTCTTTCCACCTGTATTCAAGCAGGGCACAAACTATGTATTAAAATTCTCATTCATACTTGTTAAAATGTTTAGTTATGTCTTTGCTCTTGTAAATCCTGTTTATGTGACTACCTGCTGCTCGTCTCTGATAATTTCTGCCTTTTATCCAGACTTATTCTGTAAGAGTTTTACTTTCTTTAGTCTGGGTCACCTGTTCCTTTGTTGACAACAGAACAAACTTGAATTTATTTCCTTAGCTAATCTGTGCTTAATTTCAATCTGCTGGGTTTATTTTGAGGTAGTTTTTAGTTCTGCAGCAATATGCTGAAATTTCCTTTTTAAATATTTTTGAAGATAACATGGAACACATACCCTTTATATTTTTGTTGAAGAATGCCTTCTGCTCATTTCCTACCAGAGAGCTGTCAGCAGCTTTTCAGTTTCTTGCTGATTTTGCGGATTTTTTTTTTCTGGTAGGATTTAAATGGCTTTAAATACAAGTGAATAAACCCCCAAGTTTATTAAGGTCTGGCAACAAACTCTGTAATCCTGGGGCATTGTTCTGTCAGTCCCCTAATATGAAAAAAGTTCAGAATTTTTACAAAGCCTTTTTTACACTGCTAATTAAGGAAAATAAGATTTTAAAGCCCTTTTTTGATCATCTCTTATTCAATTCTAAGTGCTCCTATTTATGATAATTACGGTTGATTTCCATTCATACTTTTCCATGAGAAAGCAGGTTAAAACAGCGCTGAATTTCTGGTCTTAATTGATTCATACACAATTTATATATCATGAACAGGAATAAATGGAACATAGTCTCAGATTTTTGTTTTCATGTTTTACAGCAAGTGTCCAGCTACCAGACTCCAAAGTTTAGAGTCTTGAAAATTCACTTAGGAAGACTCATCAAGTCAGAACACTTCTATAATACACAGTATGTTATTTGTAGGGGACTGGTTTTGTTCCCTAGTTGCAATTATGAGATACAAACTTCCTGCAAACATTTAGAATTTAGTAAAAGGTTTACTGCAAATACCTCTCAGTGATTTCATCTCTAGCTCACTTTTACACCTTCTTACCTTGTATCTGCCTTCTACACAACAGCTGTTTGCAACAGCCTTCCTAACAATGAGTTATTATTACTCCTTTGTTATTTCATTTGTTTTCTATTAAACTGAGCATCTGTATGCCTACACTGTGAGCCTTGATCTGTTCTTTACCTCATGATGAAGATAAAAGAGATAAGTTAGTGCTAAAGACATGGATGTAGTAAATCATAAAATCTTCATTAGTATCAATTGTGCTTCTGGTCACCGTGCCGTAGGTTTCCTTTGTTAGCTCCAAGTATCTGTGAATCGTGATGTTATTATTTATATACTATGACAAGTATAATTATGGATATTTCATTGAGAATTTTGCCAGCCAACTTCTAGTTTTTGTTCTGATATGGGAATTGTGAACAAAGCAAAATAATCAGTGGTTGGAATATTTTAAAATGAAGTATTCAGTTTATTTAGTAAATGATGTGGTTTTATGGAAATCAGAAGGGAATATAGAAATTGTTATGCTGCCTTTAAAGGGAGATATTTATTCAAACATTCATTTCAAAAATTGTAAGTGAACGAACACCAGTGTTAAAGAATCTAGTGGAAATGTTTTGTATTTTAATAGTTGAGGTATTAGCTGAAAATGCAAAAAGGCTGTCTAGATTTTAGGTCACTCAGCTGCATCATCTGAGGTTATAGAGATAATTTACCTTTACAGAAGAAGAGAAGTCCTAAATTTAGTAAGTAACCTCTTTGAAGGTAAAATTAATCTGTTGATTAACTTGTTTTCCTCTTCAGGTAATCCTTTTCATATTCTTTTAAAAACTGGAAATCTCTGAAATGTGATATATCAAGAGCTTTTTCAGTGCAGTGTAGTACCTGTGAATACCAGTTCTTTGTGGTTTTGGAATTAGTAGTGGTTTTGAGTGTTGTAACAAACCTTCATAATAGTAGGTGATTTTTGGTAAGTTATGGTGTGATGGAATATTCTCTGTATTTTTCAAAGTGCCAAGAGAAAGTGCAGTTAAGAGTGTTTCTTTGAAAAATAAGCATATTACAAAGAAAACACATTTGCAAAATATACATTTATATTGTTAATGAAAGAAAACTTTGCATTTGTCAATCAAATGACTGATGCATGCATATGATAATTTTATAAGGTGTTTGATTCAACAAAGTTGAAAAATGTCCATCAACTATAACACTACTTTTTTACCTGTTGAACCTTACACATCTGCTTTGCTTTATATTAGTGCTACTTGTTGTAAATGCTATCCTGCCATTAGGAATTTTTCGGAAGTTGAAGACGAAGGAAGAAAAAGACTGTTTTCAGATGTCCTGGGGATACCTTGAAACCACTTCATGGAATAATTGCAGATTTGGAGACCTAATTATAATGTATAATAACAGCAACTTTTATGTGCTTTGTGCTGCAGGTGTCTTTTGATGAATCATGCAACTTGAAAATATTTAGAAATAAATATTTGTTTCATTACAGATGGAGGAGTTTGACACCAGTTGGACAACCTATACCAGGAACGAGATTTATTGCATTCAAAGTACCTTTAAAGGGGGTATGTATAAGAATTAACTATAGATTGGTTGTACTAGATAAACTGGAAAAGTAATGAAAAATAGCATGAATGTTCATGCAAACTTTGAAGGAAAATTTTTGAAAAATAATTCAGATTTAGCCCTTTCAGTAATCTGCTAGTGGCTTCTTAAAAATATTTATTTTTTCTATTTTTTTTTAATACTTGCTGTTACTCTTTTTATTTATCTTTTAAAAATCAACGAGTCAATCAATCAGCACCATTCATTTCATCACTAATAAGTGGCCTAAATTCATAATTTTATATAACATCTTTTTATGGCTGTTTTAAGAAATTACATGGAAGGGGCTATGATATGAATAACAATCTAGGCATTGTAAGCCAAAATACAATTTTATGGAAATCAAGCAGTCGTTAAAGGATACCAGCCACTGCAGAACTTCTAAATAACTTACTAACATGAAGTGTCATCTTAATCTGCTTAATACACTGAGTCAGGTCTTTAAACTCTCTGATTATAAAAAATGTGGAGGCTGACTTGTTTTGACTGTTCAGTACTTTGGTGCCCATGCCTCTTTGGAGGCACAGGGCAAATTTGTCCTATTTGCCTTTCTGTATAAATTAACACAAGTGCTGTATAAATTAACTCTTACAGGTCCTTGCTTTAGATACAGAGGAAGTAGAAGTTTCTAATTGCTTTTAAAGTTCATTGCTTTGACATAACCTTAGCAGTTAAGAGTAAATATTCTGTCTAAGCTGTTGTCTACAGATTGCACTCTAGTATTCACACAAAAAAGTTTTGGTTCTTTGGCTGTATTCATACGCATTATATTTTCAGTCACCATTCAGTTCACTTTTGTCAGCAATGACTGAAGTGGAATGCTTGCAGGACTTGCTTCCTGCACCTTCTTTTACAGCTTTAGTATCATGGTTTGGTTCCTTTGACACCAAAGATCTCATACTTAACATTGGTCTTTGTCCTTCACGATACAGATGGACTGTACAGTAGTCTCGTGTCTTTCTACCAAGACCTCCAGTGAACACATCAAATCGTGAATATAAAATCCCGAGATTTATAATTGGCTTCTTTACTATTGGGGTTTTTGAGAGAGGATTTTTTGCATCATCAGCTCCTGTAACTCCACTTGATCCAGCGCTTGATCTATGCAATTTTTGCATAGATTCTCTATTGTAGGCAGGATTTGTTCAGTGCATATGTATTTCCAGTTCCTGTCACTCTAGCTTTCAAAGGAAGATATGTTATTGCTCACTTTACTCTTTCCCTGTAGTTCCACTGATAGTCTGGAAGGAGCTACACCAGAGATCATAAAAAATCATTATCAGAGAGTGTTCATAGCAGTATATCACAAGTAGACACTTATGTCAGCGTGTTAGTCCCTTCCAGTCCTACTGATCTCATGGGGCATAGATCTCTGTTCTGTGAAGCTGTCTTTGAGCTTGGCCAAATATAGTCTGATACCCAGGAATGCAAAATCTCTTAACATCTCTGTCCCTTCAATTTGCTCAGTCTCAACGATGCAAGACAGAGAAATGACAAGTCTGCCAGTGACCATGTGCTTGAAGCTCGTGGAGTTTGTGGCAGAATACACATAAAACGTTTAGCTGGCTAAACTGGGGTGTCTTTGCAGAGGGTAGTAGTCAATAAATCTGTCTGAAAATGCTGAAGACCTGATGGGTCATCATCTGTCAGAAGTCCTTTTATTTATTAAGCTGGTGGTACAGACCTCTTAAATATGCAACAGTTTTCTTATTTGTTACTGATTAAGAAATTGATGATTGGTGATTTCACCCAAAGGGAGAAAATATATTTTCAGAGTTTGAAGGCTCAAGGGTTATTGTCATAGCAGAAGATGTGCTGTTAGTAAAGACTTCAAGATCATGTGTTTACCTGAAAGGATTTTCTATCCCTCCTTTCAGATCATCTTTATAGTGCTAACAGTAACATTGTAGTGTAGTAAGAACAGGGCAGGTTCTTTCCCATGCCATTAGAAGGATTTTTAGAATTGATAGAGATTTCTCTGATTCTCAAAGCCCAGTTAAATACCTCAACTACTGAATATTCAGCAGAAGTTTTTCAAAAAATTCCAAAGAGCCTTTCAAAACATAGTATTTCATAACACATTTGACTGTTTACCTAATCAAACAATATGTTTGGAGAACCTTATTTTTGTAAATTACATTCCTCCTCAGTTTGTGTGTCTTCACATAGTAAAAGTTCTTTAATATTCTACTGTAGACCTTTTGCAGATTCACCTTTTGTCACCTCAAGGTTGTTAAGTTCAGTTTCAGATTCTACTAAAAGTCACTGCTGAATAGTGGTGAGACAACTGACTCATGTTCATTTTGTTTAAACTTCCACAACTTCCACTGTTTTTTCAGCAGTGCATAGGTGTCTGAAATACATAGGACCAAATACTTTATTATATGCTTTCTACCCTTTTAGCTTAAGCTTCCTAACCACATACAAGTTTTGACAGGACTGCCCTGCTGTTTCTTCTTTAATTTGTTTTCCTGTCTCTGTTTCCAGACTCGAGACAAGTGCTTGCTAGCATTTTAGATTATAATCTGTACAGTCAAAACAAAAAATGGTTAGTTACCCTGTAGCATCTGTGGTTCTAAGAAGTATGTGGTCTGTGGCTGCCTTCCTTTCCATTAGTTCTGAGTCCAGTCTGCTTGAATTTCTTGTTGACAAAGGAACTGACAGGTGGTTGAGGCTGCTGCATCTTTTGCCACTGTCTTTATTGGTTCTGGCTGAGCCTATGTCAAAAGGCTCTCACAATGGACAAGTGCACTGTTCACAGAAAATCCAGTCTTGAGTATATGAGGCATTTTCACACCTAAAGTGAAGAACACATTTCAAAAAACACAGCTACAATAGGGTGAGTAAACATTTTTCTCACTGTTTCTATCAAATGAATTATTCATTATCCACCAACATGCAGTTTTCTTAGTCACAGTATTTTAGTCATATTAAATATTTCCCAGTGCTAAAAGACATGCAAGTACACTCTGTCAAGAGATGAAGCAGGGATAAAAATGTCTGCGCAACATTTGTGGGAAGACAGTTAAAACCTTTAGAAATGAGATCTTGTATCACAATTTTTAATGTTTTATGTGAAATACATTTAATTTTGAGTTACTGTGCAGGACAAAGTTTTTTGGGGGAAGTGGATTTGGTGTTTTGCTTTTTACTGATGTTTAGTTACATAAAAATCAGTATATACATGATATATTTTGCAGAATTTTTATGTCTATGAAATTAAGAATGTTTGTTAACACTGTACAAATTGAAATGCTCACAGTTTCTTGCATATTCATCTGAATAGAAATACATAAAAAATCTTTGCTTTCTTTTTAACTGGTCTCTTATCTGTATAATACATGGATGTGGTTCTGATATTTAAACAGTCCCTTTCAAATACTGATGTTTCCTAGTACTAATTAAAACAGCTGAATATTACAAATGTCTTGTTATTTGAATGTAAAAAGAAAATATTTCTTTTCCATTTTCTTTGTAGGCAATTAACCAGAGGCTCACCCCAACCCAGAAATTTACACCAAAAGACTTAATTGCTGCAATGAAAGCCCTAAATGTGGAGCTTGGATTAATTATTGATTTAACATATACCACCCGATACTATGAAGTTAAGGTAATAAAAGCCTAATAAAAATGTAAAATAGTTGCTACAACTTGTGTTTTGAAGTGTTTACATGTTTGCTTACCTTGAATTGGAATAGACAAGTATGCTATCTAGAATAATGTTGTGTCTCCAATAGAAAATAAATGTTTTATCACAAAGGAAATAACTGCTTTTCCCAGCTAGTTGCATTTGTGGCTTATTTGTATTATGGTAACTCTGAGTATTGGGTAAAGACTTCAGTGCCAAGCACTACAGAAAAGGTGCAGAAGAGTTACACTCTTTGTCCTGAAGACATTCTCATTTATTCCTAGGGTCTTTTTTTACTGATCCTCAGTGGAATTCACTAAGAAGGTGTACATTTTTAAACTACTTTATCAATTTCAAAATTTTTACCAGTATAGTCCAAACAGTTGTGATTACTCAGCCTGCTACTGAAAAGGAGAATAAATGTCAATGGTATTTTCTCAGGCCATATCTCTATAGAATTGTGTCAAGTTTGTTTTCACTTTCTATTCAAGGTTTGAACTACTGGTTTACATTGGCATTATGTTAGATACTGCTTATGGTTTTTCATTGATACAAGATTTGAATAATGTTTACTATTGTTTTTTTCCTTTTTGTTGCTAGGATTTACCTAAAAGTGTGCAGTATAAGAAACTTTATACTGTTGGACTTGAAGTCCCTGATAATGCTACTATTCTACAGTTCAAAAAATGGGTCAGAAAATTCCTATGGGAAAATGCAGGAAATGGTAAGTATCAGCATCCTATGCTATAAAAAACCTCTGTATTTTATTTTGGTGCTCACTGTATCATTTACTAATTTCAGTAGATATTTATGAAACTGGGGACCTCAGACTTTCCATAGCACTTCCCACTTTATTATCATAATAAGATCCATTATGTGAACCACTACCTATCTTTTATGCAACCACAACAAGTCTTTTTCAAACATGACAAGTAACTTAGATGCCCTTCCAAGTAGCGTTGTGTTTGTGTTGTGTGTCAAAGTAACTGCAACAAGGCCTTCATGTGTCTGACCCAAATTGTCCCCCACCAGCTGAGTGCTGTAGCTGCCAGCCCCTGATGGATGTTCTAAATAGCACCGAGTCTCTCTGATGCCTCTGGGCACTGACACGTGTGAGCAGCTTAAGTCCATTTAGTCTGATGTAGTGTTTTTTTGATTTTTGAGTCCATTATTGCCCTCATATCTGAACAATTCCTGAAAATCTTATTACAGACACAGTGTCAATGTTTCCACAGTGTGGTGTGGCTCTGCTGCTGTTTCAGTGCTTATGCAACAGGGCAGTTCTTGCTGAGATTGTATAAGTTGCTTTTTGTGAAAACAAAATTTTGCCACAGTGTGTTTGCAGCTTTTAGACTCTCACTTCTTTTGGTAGTGATTCTTTGTAGGCAGATTTTACCTATGTGTTTATCCAATATTGGTGGATCGTTCTTTCAAGCTTTTTCATGCTGTTTGCTGTGCTGACTTTGGCATTTTCTGTGAGAAAGTAGAGATATGAACTGCCCAAGTGCATACGGTGTTTGCTGCAAAGCATAACTGGGGTTTGGCTGTGAATGGTCAACTCTGCTTTCTGAAAGAGCACTGGCATAAATTTCAGGTGTGAGAGCCTGAATTAGAAGTAATGGGAAAATGGAAAGGTAAAAGAAGAAGCCTTTGTCCTTGCTCAGAAAGTTAGTTTGTTACTTCTTCCTTTGCTCTTTTTTGGCTTAAGGAAATTACTTGGTGTTTATTAGTTTTCTGTTGTTTCGATCTAGTGATTTTTTGTGTGTGACAAAGAATAGTCTGTGTTTGAATCTAATATGGAGAGAATCGATTCCTGATTTGTTACTGGACAATGACCCTGCAGTTACAGTTAGTAAGAGCATTGTGGCAGAGCTTATGTAACTTTTGAGTTGGGAGAACTTTCATTTTTATGGTAACTTACTCCTCATAATTTGGCCTTTGTTTTAGAATACCCCTAAAATATCTCAGGATTTTTCTTACAAAGACTTTTTGAGAAGTTGGGTTTCTTTAATGTTTGAACTGTTAGGACATCAACTTACAGCAAACTTATATGGCAATGTGACTGTCCTGATTTGTGGCAAACAGTTATATTTTTTCTCATTCAAAAATTTATCTAAGTCGTGTTTCAAAGACCGTTTGTCAGTACTGTCTCTGTCCAAACTTTGTTCTTCTGTTGACGAAAGGTTTTCTTTTAAAATCTACCCTAAAACTCTCAATCAGTTAATATGCATTTATTCTCAAGCCAGCTTTGCCCTTTAAGTATCGTTGTTCTCCATTCCCATCATTACATTCAGTATCTCAGATTTGTTTTTACAGACTAAATCAGACAAGCTTCCTTCTGTGACCATCATAGTAGTCCTTTCTATACATATTTGATTTTTTTTCATTACATTTGAATATGAATATAAATAGTCTAGATGAGGTTTTACCAGCATGATCATATCAGTGTTTCCCTATTTCTGTTGGAAATAACTCATTTGAAAAACCCTAATAATAGTAAGTTGTTCTACTTTTTAACCTTTAGCTGATTAGCATAATCTTTTCAAAAAAACCAAAGATTTCTTTAGAGATTACTGGTTCTCCTTTTCTCCATATATTTCATACTCCAAGGCATTTCATACTTCCAGGTGCTTTATGTATAAGTTAAGTTCTTCAGTTTTACATTTGCTTGTTTAGATTTGCTTTCAGACCCATATTTCTTTTATTTTTCTCCTGTTACTGCAGTTATGGCTGAGGCCAGGTGCTTTAGGTGTCATCACTCTTCCTTTTTTCCTACATTCTGCAGTCAATCTCAGTCTTCACAGGTTTGGAAATAGTGAGCTAACTGCTGCTAGAGATTCATCATGAAGCCTCTATGTATCTGTTGTTTTACAGGCGTGACAGTATAATTTTGTAAATAGCAAGCATTATTTATCATTACTTCTCTAGAAAAATAGAGATTTTTTTTGTATTTAACTATTAAAGACTCTGTTTTCCTTTTTGATAGAGAAGCTCATTGGCGTTCACTGCACTAATGGAATTAATAGGACTGGCTACCTTATATGTAGGTAAGGTTGTATAAACACAGAAATCGTTGTCCACAAAAAATAGCATCCTTATATTGTTCTGTAATCCCTTTGGGACAATAATATAATCATATTTTTCTTCAGATACCTCATAGACGTTGAAGGCTGGGATCCAGAGGCAGCAATCCAAGGTATTTATATAGTTTGAACTAAGGCACGTGTCAGGTTGTACTTCACAACTACTACAATTGTACTCACAAATACTACAATTCTGTTTTAGTATCTTTTCAGTAATTTCATGTGCTGGCTTACACAGAATATTTTTTCTGACTTGATTCTACTCCAAGCAAGACTTGAGCATTAGCAAATTGACAGCATTGGAGGAGTATGTTTTAGCTGCTTTAAATCTTTTTTTTTCTTTTCACTTGAAAGGGTTTCCAGTCGTAGTTTGCTACTACTACTTTCAGTTGTTTAAAAAAAATGCTGCAATGATGCCAACTTGCTAAAGTATTAAATACAAGTTAGAGTTGTTTCAAATTCAGCATCTCATGGTGAACAGAAACTTGCCTTTCGCATTTCTCAGTTTGAACACATTTCATTAGACTGTATTTTCTTTTTTTCCTTTAGCTTTTGGTGATGCCAGAGGTCATCGCATGGATGGTCTGGTGTATCTCACAGACCTCAGAACACAACCAATGCGAAGGTAAATGCTTTTAGTGGTGTGCTTAAGATTGTATGTGTCATGGTATTCTTAAAAGTTCACTTCCGGTCATAAGTCAAAATTCCCTCTTAAACCTTTAATATGCAACTACACATAGATTGTAAAATATATATGTAATTGTATGTGTATTGTCATATGAATAACATGAAGTGCAGTGTACTTTATTCATCTTTTGAATTTCTGAGATTCAAAAGATTGTTTGTAATCTGACAACTACTATTGAACATTTCTGTGGTTTTATCATATGTGACAGGTGTATTAAGTCTGTATTCTTTCATTACAAGCGGAAAGGAGCCATTGAAGAGATGTCTTTATAAGCTCTATGATCTGCCTGCTGTTCTTGGCATTGTAGAACCAGATATTTAATAAAAAAAAAAAGAACAGTTTTACGAATAAAAAAGTATGAGAAAGTGGAAGATTGTTCTCATCTCCTCCATTCATAGTAGTTGTATCATGTTTAAGAATTTTATGCTTATCTCTTAGGAATAGCTGACCTTTCCATCTTCCCAAGGTATTTGTGACAGTGATACCTTATAGCAGTAAATTGGTTTTAAAATGAATACCTGACTGATTTGCATCTTTTTAGCTGAAATGAATGCCCTTTGTTTTAATCCTATCATTGTTTCATAGTCTGTGCGGGATTAAGTTGGTCCCATGTCAGATTTTTAATAAGTGTGGTGCTTATCTCACATCCTTTAGGATGTTGTTCTAAATATATGAAGCTCGGGTATTCTCTTTGATTTCCCTGCAGCTCTTTCCCAAGTAAATTTATAAGATTAAAATTTGCTAAGTTGTGAATGTCTGTAAGTTTTGCTGAACATAAAACTGAACGGAAGAATTTTATGTGGGTGTTTTTTTCACTATGTCAGTCGTATGTTTTTAAAAAGGAAGCTTATGTGAAATGTTTTTTTCTTCTTAGTAACCTTGGAATGGATGTATGGGATGCAGATGAAGATATTATTCCCCCACCACATGCAATGGAAGGACCTGCAGAGCGGTTCCCAAATGAAGATTTTCAGGGGTAATAGGCTGAAATGTGGAAATAGAACTCAACACCCCCACCACACACAAGGGGGAATATAATTGTTTCTTGCTGAGAATAACTACAGATACTCAAAAGAGATTTTATGAATATAGCCTGCTCATGTAAAATATATTTACAGAATGTGACATAACAGTTGCAAGATAAGCAAAAGAAAGGGAGTGTGTGCTCTTAGAAGTCTGTAATTAGTTCACTTAAAAAAATTTAGTTTTACTTTGCCTGTCCTTTATTATTCTACAATAATCTGCAGTTATTTTTATTAATTTTGAATCACTGATTTTGCCTGTTTAACAAGCGGTATAGAATTACAATTGAATGTTTTTCACAGCTTCTGCTCTGACACAGAAGGTTTTATAATCTTACTTACAGTTTGGACTCTTATTAGTTTTGATACCTGACTATTTGCAATGTCTTTCATATAAATTCTTGGTTAAAAAGGAATTGTTTTCATTGATGGTTTTTAGGACTGTTCTGTTTAAGACAAAAACTTCTTTACAGGTCTGGGAAAAGATTAAGAATTTATGACGACCACTCTCACAATGATTTGCAAGGACAGATACAGTTGAGAGATTTTGACTTCATTAATAAGGAGCCTGGACAAAGACGAAGACCATTTCATGACCACCAAGCTCAGGATGAATCAAGAGCGTCAGTGCAGATGAGAAACTGGGACTACAATCGGGGACCAGAACAGAGACAAAGACCCTTTAGTGATCACCAATTTTATGATGATTATCAAGAAGACACACAGCTGAAGGACCTAGACTTCAGTAACAAGGGCCCTGGACAAAGTTTGAGACCTTTTCATGGACACCAGTTTTGTGATGATTTACAGGCAGAAAGACAGTCGAGGGACATTAACAGAGGCCGTGGACAAAGGCAGAGATCTTTTCCTGATCATCCATTTCCTAATGATTTGCAGGAAGACAGGCAGTTAAAGGATTTTGATTTCAGTAGCAGGGGCCATGGCCGGAGACGAAAACTGTTCCATGACCACCAATCTCGTGATGAATTTCAGGCTCAGATGCAGTTAAAAGAGTTAGATCCTGTCAGCAGAGGTCCTGGCCAAAGACTAAGATCTTTCCATGACTATGAGTCACATGATGACTTAAAGCCACAGATGCAGTTGGGAGATTTTGAATTTGTTAAAAGGGGTTGTGGGCAGAGGTTGAGGCCTTTCAACGATCACCAGCCTCACAATGACTTACAAACAGAGATGCAGCTGAAAGATTATGATAATAAAGGCCCTGGACAAAGGCGCAGACCTTTTCATGACCATCAGCCTTATGATGGCTCACAGGAGAAGAATCAGTTAAAAGATTTTGATTATGTTAATAAAGGACACGGACAAAGGCCAAGACCTTTTCATGATCATCCAGGTCATGATGACTTGCCACGTGAATGGTGTTCAGACAGGTAAAGCATCCTTGAGCTGAAAAACAGAATTAGAGAATAAAAGTGTAAACCTCAGCAGTTTGAAATTAAATTTCAGATCAAATATTTTTTTAAATAAATTATTTTTAAATCACTTAATCATCCTTTAAAAATAATATATAATGATAATTTTATTAACTCTTTTTGTTTTGACTTATGGAAGAGTTTGATATAAGCTGGAGTCTTGCATCTTTGAAAGCCAGTGTTTCCTAAATTAGGTTTGCTTCTTTGAAGTTTGTGTTTCCTTTACCTTTTTAGTCATCTTGAAACAAAACTCTTTGTCCTGCTTTGTTTTGTGTAGAAACTTATACTTAAAAAGCAATCCTCAAAACAGAATAGAATAAGAAATTTTATTTATGCCCTCAGCTAAACAGAGATAAACAGCAGTGCTACAAGGAAGTTTGACTTGCATTTGTGTATTCCATGATTTGTTAGAAATCCCTTTGCTTCTGAACTTGCATCATATTCTTACAAATATGTCTATCACTTACTAGTAAACCTATTGTATTGACATATTTCAAACTATTTTTAATATTTCAGAATGTATTTCAGATATTTGTTGGACTAGTAAAATTTGATTTAATTTCTTCCATTGTACAGCTAAAACAGAGGATGTCATTACAATGAAGCATACCATTTTAAGGTGTTAAATTAATACAATCATTATAGTTTTTATTTTAAGTCAATTTTATGAAATAAAAATATCTTTATTTAATGTAATTTCAAAATCTTACAATCGTTTGCAGTCTTCTTAACATGCAGTTCTTTTGATTATTTGCAGAAGTCAATCATTTTGTTCCCATGAAAATGTAGCAGAACCTCATTTCTCCTCATCTCCTTCACTTCACAGAGATTATGGGTCAGATAATGATGACTTTAACAGAAATTACAGGTAAATATCAGATATTCTACATTGTTTTCTGACTTACCTTTCTGTTGTAGTTTCCCAGCTAGAAAATACAAATTACCTTCAAAGCATGAAAATCTGTTAATATATTTGCTTAAATGCAGTTTAAGCCCTTGAATCTGCACACTGAGCAGATAACGTGACTAATTTGTGGTTCACTGATACTGACTTTTGAGAGGGATTATTGTGCGAATCCCATGATAAGCACAGTTCAAGCTAATGCACAACAGAATATGAAAAGCCAGTATTAGTAAGCAAAAAAGCAAGATATAGATGCTGTATTTAAATCTTAACTGCTGCTTGCAACAAGCTAATGAGTTTTACTGTGAGGGATGGTCAGACACTGAAACAGGTTGCCCAGCGCAGCTGTGAAATCCACATCCTTTAAGACAGTAAGAATGGACAAGCCACTGCATAAACTCATCTAATGAGACCTACTTTGAGGTGACCCAAGGTTCTTCTAGAGATCCTTTCCAGTTTAAGTGAATTTATGGTTCAGTGAGGGAGAAAATTTTAAAATTATAAAGATTGTTTTGAATTTGCTTTATACACCACTTATTTTACAGAGCAAGGAAGGTACTTGAGCGTCAAGAGAATTTAAAGCAAAAAAATATATTTTGTATATGCATTTTTAGATCCTCCGGCATGTATTTTGTAGCAGAGTGAGTATTCTATTGCAGAAGAATCGATAATAAAAATCTTAGGCATATTATTGCCTGTTGAGACTATGTACTAAAGAGCTGTTATTACATATTATTCACAAAAATGAAAACATGGGCTTAGGAACAAAAATGGCCCTGAGGTAAAAATACCCTCAGTAAACAGGTAATTTTAATTAGAAACAGCCCTTGAAACAAAACACCTACTACTAGAATTACTTACTATAAAGGGCTGTAATTTGAGTCACTAGAATTGAAAAATTATTATAAACAAGTTTGCGACATCCATAGGATTTTAATTTTAGGGGGTAAAAACAAGAATGAGGGTTTGAATTGTTCTTTCAACATTACATGTTTAGTTTCTAGTGGTGGCCAATAACAATAAATCATCTGTTTTATTTCTAAGAATTACACTGTTCACATTTGTTCTTCTTGCAGTAATCGACCAAACTGTCCTGAAGACAATAGGAGAATGCATCCCTCAGAGGAAATTAGTAGAGGAAAAAATAGATTTGCACCATACTCTTCACAAACAATGCACCCATCTTCATCTGTACACCAAGAAGATAGTTCAATAAACTATGAAAGAAAACCTTTTCAAGGTGAAACTCCCAGAAAGATGGAACAGAGAAAAAGATTACCAGTTGTAACAGTTGATTACAATTATGGTCTGCCACTAGACTGTGGACCTGAAGAAGAGAAATCACATTATGATTTACCGCCACGAGACCACTTCAACTGGAACTGAACAAGAAGGACAGTGTTTGCTCAGCTTGCTCAGATTTACTTTTACCCATTTTCCTTTGTTTGTGGACCATTTCTTTTTTTTAAACAAATTAGTTAAATGCAAATTTCAGTAGTAGAGAACTGGTCTCCATTGTAAGATTAGCTTCTACTGATGTTTGGTTCTTTAGATTTATTAAGGTGTATTTGTTAAGTGTAGTTGGAGACAAGGTCTCGGTACACGTGGAATTAAAGTAGTCCTTCCTTTTAGTGAAGTTGGAACCCTGTACCTTAAAACAAACAACTTTCTCAGTGTTTGTGGTTGTCTTTTGTTTTGCAGTTTTTCAAAATGTATGTGATTTCCAGGTGCAAAAGTCATAATAAAACACTGCATTATCAGGTAGAGTAATTGAAATTATAGGAAAAATACTAAGAAATGGACAAAGCAAAGTTATGTTCAGTTCCTCCTTTCATTTGAAAACAGCAGTTTAAATTATTGCTATCAGTCACTGCAGCATTGGAGTTTAATTCCATATTTTGTGTACCATCAACTGAACTGACCTAGTTGCACTCTTTTTCACAGCAGAATTTTCCCAGATTGCTAAGAACATGGAAGTAAATGGAGTTTGAATACTCTAAATGCCAGACTTGCTTTTCAGTAATCTGAATACCCATCCTGATTGTATCTTTTTTCGTGATCCCATAGGGTATCTATGTTTCAGAATAGCCCACTGCAGGTAAATTTAACCGATTTCTCAGCAACAAATCCGGATGAGGTGGGTCGTGGATCGTCAGCTCACCTGTCTCAACTGGCCAAGGCCACTGGTGCCTATATACTTACACCTCCTTGTTTGTCAGTCAGACCTGTCTTACTCTCCAGCTCTGTTTTTCACTAGTTTCTTCTTACAGCACAGCAGAGCAATGTAATCAGAATAAAAGAATAACTTCTTCAGGTGAGATCCTTTTAATAGTCATGTGTGGAACAGTCTCCTCTGAACTGCCTCTTCAGTGAGTCTCACAGAGGTAGGGCAACAGTAATGCACAGTATCACCAACTGCTCCTACTGTGGATAAAAAAATCGGTTCATAGGATGGAAAACAGTATTACTGTAATACTTAAGTAAATTTTAAAACTTTCATTTTTCATTATTATTACATTTTAATTGTTATTTTAAAAGGCATCTCAATAAATAAGGATAAAGGCAGACCATTATATTAAGGTAATTAAAATGAATGCAAGATAGTTAAGTCGTACAGTTAAGACACTCAAAAGCAGCAAAGCTGCAAAGCATCAAGCAAGAGGGTGTAGGTATACACTGGAAAACTGCAAAAAAACCCCTGTGTTCATAGCCAGAACCCACAAAGCTTTTTTGTCTTTTAGCAGCAGTGTAAAACCAAGATTTCTGAATTCATGGTTCTGTACTAAAAAAGACCTAGATTTGAAACGTGTGGAATATCTTGCAACTCCTGTTGTTTTTGTAACCCAGCAAAAAGTTCTCCAAGTCAAAGGATTCTGTAGATACAAATTCAAACTGCAAATGCTTCATTGCCTGTGCAACTGGTAGAACAACTTTGGCTTTGTTCATTGTACAAAGTAAATAGTTTTCTCGTTTTCACAGCAGCTAGTCAATTGTATTTCCCATTAAGTCTCTGATGGTGAGCTTCATTCATGTGATCTCAGGAATGAAGCTCTGTCTATATAAACTTGTTGTGGAACTGAGCACTAAATGTTAAGAACAGGCATTTGTTCTTTCACTTGCCTTTTTTTTCTTTCTTAATGAGGAGTGAGTTGAGAATCTTTATCTAGGCTTCTTTATTTGGAAGCAAGGAAGATATGCAACATGGGCTACTATATTGCTAGATCCTTTAAAAAAAGTCAACAAAAACCCCCACCCTTTCTGGTACTCCCCAGCAGGGCCCTAAGAATTAGAGACTGATATTGGAAGCATTTGGAGGGTTTTTTTGTACCGTGTATGCAGTATTCATAAAGTGAATAAAGAGCAGCAAATATTTGCCCTTCTTATTTTTGTTTTGGGGTTTGTTATTTAGGATTCAAGTGACCCTCCAGTCAATCCTTTGTTACTTGAGACTGGAAAGATGAAAAGCTGATGCACTGGAAAGCTCAGAGCAAGAAGAAAGAAACGTGGCATAAGGAGTTAGGATCAGCACTAGCTATTACTAGCCCCTGTCAGTTCCTGCAGGACCCAGGGAGAGTTCAGATGCCAACACTCTGATGGTATTATTCCTGTTATCTGACAAAAGAAATGTCACTTTCATACCTATGTTGGATTTCTCTTTTCAAAGAACATTAATAGACACGTTTCCACAAATGGGTTTGGGATGACTATATGAAAATAGACATAGTTTTGTTTGTATATTTATTTATGTATTTATTTAGAATTTAGGATAAGGTTTTTCACCCTATTGTTCCTAATGAAATTAGGCAGAGCTAAGCCCACATAATACATTACAAACTCCAACTGACATTTATCTCAAATTCCACAGCTGATTCATCACTGTATGTACTATTTAACTGCTAATTGAATCCACATGGTGGAGAATGAAATTAAATGAAATAAAATGTTTTCTTGTTTTGTAAACGAGTATTGTATCACAGTGGCAGCCATAAAAAAAGCCCACAACACTTTCATTTATTTCACAGTTCTACAAAAAGGTCATAAAATCTTGGTCTTTTTTTGTGTATATTCTCAGCAAACCTAGAAATAGTTGTTGTATCACAGAGCAATAAAAAGCCAGACTTCAATGGACAGTGTTGGTCTCCCACTGCCCTGAGTGTGAAATCTTGAAGAAAAAGATAAGTATACAGAAAATCCAGATTTAGCACAAAATTATTTTAAGGAGTTGTATCACTCTAATATATAAAACTATTGAACTCTTCTGAACTCTCAGAAAACTTCTATTGCTGTCCTGCAATCATATTTTCATTGGAGGCCAGATTTTTATCAGATGGTGAAGCGTTGGGGTCATCTCGCCCTGTGGTATGATCATCCTGAGTTAGGGAATGTTCTGGTGGTTCCTGGAAAACAAAAAGTTCAGATGAGCTCTGTGCAGGAGGCTGAATCCCAAGAATGGCTTGGGAAAAAGAGAGGTCAGCTCCAACAGAAAACCAGAACACAAGGATATGACTGAATTTGTATGTAGAAATCTGCACTGTATGTACAGCTAATTTAGTTTTCTGTGTGGAGAATAAACAGCTATCTAAAAAAGGGCTAGAAAAGGTTTGCATGTGACTCTTCTCTCAGCAGGGGCAAAAGGTAAATGACCTACAAGGAACCACGAGTACAATTAAGATCCTTCCCTGTTTATTTGCCTCAGAAGTCACTGCTAGCAAGCTGCAGGCTTTTTTTTCATGTGCAAAAATGATCAGTGATGTGTTAACACTTCAAATTTGGGATGCACTACTACAACCAGTGTGCCAGGACCAGCGGTTCAATGACCTGAGCAATAGCTTCTGAAGATCAATTCTCGCCTTAAGACAGCTTATGTGAAGCATCCAGAAATGCAGATACCCAAAAATCATTTCTGGCTTAGAGTCTGCTCTGGAAAGAAGGAATGTATCCTCCATCTGGAATTTAGCAAGGGGATATGAATCCCTGGACACAGTGAAGAGCAGTTTATTTAAAATGTGCAAACAGAAAGCAATAGCTTCCACGCTGTTATCAACCACTAGAGCTTGTTTCCTCTCCAGGCTGACTCTTACTTACTCCAGTTGTCAGCAGACCGTGCTTTACTAGTTCCAGTGGACAGCAATTACCAAACCTGCAGATCCCTTTCTTCTTCTTATGGGGACCCAGAAAAAACAGATGACAAAAAGGAACCAGGTGAGGAAGCAACTTGTTTCTTTGTTCTCCTGAGATGAGAAAATAATGCAAGGAGAACAGGAAAAGAAATATTTTTAGAAATAAAAAGGAAAGAGAAGGGAGAATGAAAATTAAAATGTCGGGGAGAGGGTTATCAGTGTGAGGGAAGAAATGTGCAAAAGATGCACGTGTAAAAAGCTGGTGAAAGATTACTGAGCATAAAGAGGCCACATGCTGGAAGAGTTCCTGGCAACTTCTTATCTGGGTCTCCTAAGCTGTGCCTGTGGCTCTGTGTGAGCACCATGCTGATGTAAATAACAGTTATCAAAAAAATACAGGAGCACTCAGACCTCTAATCCTTCAATGAAGTCATATGGGAGCTTAAAACTAATTAAGGCTTCTCTCTAAGCTTTAAATCTAGTCTATGTGTAGTATAATATCCTGAAGATATTCCCTGTAGAATCCAATGAGAATTTCAGATAAGCAAGTAAGAAACTACTCCACAAACCTGTTTCACACATTGAAAACAAGCTTGGTTTTTACTGGGTATCAGGAATCCCATAATTTGAGGAATTCGAGAATAAAATCCAATTTGTTTATTACAGGTACATACCTGTCCTATCTCACACTTTCAGGACAGCATCAAAACACACTATAAGGTTGCTATTACTGTACCCATCACACAAAACTTACAGTTATAAATTAGTTAAAGTGTAACAAACAAATCTCAAGTAATTGCCTCTATAAGTACAACAAGCAAGCCAATACAGAGTCATACAGAAAGCAGGAGACATTTTATTCCTTTATGAGGAGCACTCAGGACTGAATGTTCCACAAAGGAAGGTGAAAGAGCCCCCAAGACAGATAAACTTGGTAAATTTGACACAGGTAAGGATGTTCCCCATATAGTTCTTCAAAGACCTCTTCTAACATAAAGAGAGGTTTTTGCTTTCAGTTATAGTACCAAACAAAAGCCTATACAGCAAAATTAACCCTTTAAGGAGAAGATAAGAGAGTACAAGGGGTTATTAATATCTGTTAATCACATCTCAGTCCATCTTTAAGATGCACAAAGTAAATAGAAGAAACAAAGTATAAACTTTGCTATATCTGACTGCTAGAGCTGATTGACCCTTGTCTGCATATCCCAAATGAAAAATAGGACCAACACATCATATTGTAGCTATTTTATAGCAATTCTGGTATACAGGGAATGGTAAATTTTGATTTTCACATTACATGTGAAAAATAGGCCTAAAGTATATTCTGAGAAACAGTGTTTGCAAATTAAAAGAAAAACATTAATTGTTTTCTATCATTTAAATACAGTAGTTATAATAAAATAGAGCGAGAGCAAAGAGTATGGCCACCAGACTTGTTTTTAAATCTAATTTAAACTCATTAACTGCAGCAGAACTTGTGATGATGGCCACAGATTAGCTTTCTTTTCTATCTTTGAAAAGCAACAGCTTTTGGAAAGAGCTGGACTAGATGTGAAACCTCTGGCCTTGTTTATTCAGCATTATAGTGTGTTTCTGAATCTTTATGTCCCTGATGACAGAGGTGCTTTTCTATCTATGCTCTTTGTATTCAGTTTGTGCACACTGGAATTATATGCACTTTTTTTTTTTAACTGCACAGGCTAATGTCCCTCTTGCATTAGCTCATGAAAAAAAAAGAGGACAATTAGGCTACTGAAATTAAATAAACAAAAAAAATCCTTAAGGCCACACAAGCTTACATAATAGAAAAACTTAATAATTTCTTTCTTCATGTTATTTTCATGTTACATTTTTTCAGGGGCATATGTAGAAAGACCTGCACATTTATAGGGAGAGTTTGACCTCATTACTTCCATTTTTCTTTGTCTCTAACTGTGGCTCATTTTTGCCTGTTACCTTAATCCAAAAAAGCCCACTCAGATACTCGACAGGAGCTTTTCTCCCCTTCAGTCTTCTTTCTGGATTTGAAATACTAAATTCATTTTTACATATGTACGAATATCTGTGTATAAATGTATGTATATGCACATTATAAACATATATATAAATTTTTGTATATAAATGGAGATCTCTGCTCTCCTAAACGTCAGTGAGAGAGCAGGTATAAAGATGAAATTGTCCATGTGAGTTACTATTGTTAATCTCTGAATACTTCAGAGTTTTTAAGATGGATTTAGTGAATGTACATTTACTTTAATTACTTTCCTGACATAGAAAGTGGTGTAGTTTCTAATTAACACCATGGGGGGGAGGGGGGGGTGTCAAAAGAGGGAGGATTTAAGTGTAAACATAAAAGTTTGTTTGGAAAAAAGAACAACTCTATGAAGTGGATAGATAATACCATTTCCTAAAAAACATGCCACAGGAACAATAAACTACTCAAACTACAAAATATTTATTTAAATTAGGAGTCTGGATAACAGCTAGACAAAACTAAGAAACTTTCAGTTTTTTAAACATAGAGAGTACCCAAAGACTATCAGTAATTTAAGTCTTCATCTGCTGTAAGATAGGGTGGAAAGTAAAGCTAAGTTAGAAAATGAGAAGTTCAGGATCGTGGAACGAAATGCTGAAGAAATTACAGACCATGGCTAACAAAAACAAGGTGGTTGTACAACCTTGTACAACAAGGTTGATCAGTTGTACAGAATATCTGTTTAAAATGGAAATGGGCAAGAAGCAACACTTCTGAACAAGTCCATGCCATCTCGTGAGATAAAATCCCTGGGAACAGAAAATCACAAAAGGGAATCACAAGGGGTTTTTCTCTCTATCACATCAGGAGCCTCTCATTCAGGAAAATTGTCCCAAATTTACAATGTTAAATATGATCAGAGGTAATGAAATCTAATGAGATAATTACACAGTCCTGGTGACATTTGGAACCTTTTAGATGTTGGTGATTTTCACTAACTGATGGTTATTACAATCCTCTTTGATGTTGAGACATGGGAGCCCATCAAATTTTTTTCACAAATGTTGCTGATTCGTGTTGTGAGTGGAAGTGGCTTTGCCCTGATTTGGCTCTCAGAATTCAGCATTTCATTGGTATCTCTGAGGTGTTTTCGGACTACAAGAGCTGTCAGTCAGAATCCAGCCTCCAGCCACCATCACTTACTGTGAGGAACTCAAAAGGAAGGCCATGTACAAGTTGCCATTTTTTAACTGGCTTTCAAGAAGGTTATGCAGCTAGTAAAAAAATCTCCTTGGAGTAAAAATAAGACCATTACATTCTGAGAGTTGGCATGGAAACTAGTGAAGCTTAGATGATAAGAAAATAAATACACCTTTAAGTAAAAATTAAGCTGAATAGCAACAAAAAGTATCAATTAGCAAGAAACAAGAGATTATTCAAGAAAGTAATAAATCCTTCAGCAATCAGAAATCTGCTTTTAGTGACACCACTAAAGAGCGGTCTAACCTACAGAGATAAAATCTCAAATAAAACCAAGAAAGATTAAATAATACTTGAAGAAGAAACAGTTAAATATATAAAAATAAATAAGAATTTTAAAGTATGTTAGAAATAGTCTACAAGGTAGCTGGTCAATTTGCAGATCTTAGAACACAAAGCACCATTAAGAAACACATGTTGCAAAGAACCTGCACAATTTACCTGCATAAAATCATATTACATAAATGTATCTCAGAGAAGTTTTCCCCCAGATTATCAAAATAATGATAGTGATTAAGACACCAGCAGAGAAGATGTCTGAACAAACTGCTAAGCAGGGACAAGTTCTAAGACTAGCTTGTCTTCAGACAAGACTTCCAAGG